GGAGACACCTTCTAGCCGGAAGAATATATAAACATTTTAAGCATACGAATTAAAAGAAACATAATAAAAACTTATCGAAATGGGTCTTGCAAAGATCAAAGAAAAATACAAATAAACATGATACATACTTGCGTCCAAAGCGTTGGCTTGTTCAACTTAAAATGATCAAAATTGCTGCAACGTGTTGCCGTAAATAGAAGAATTCAAAAGAAGTGCTACCAGAAAAATAAAGTAGAGAAATTTCTCCAATACGGTGAAGCTTCGTAGAAGGGGAAAACAAACGTAAAGTAGTAATAACCAATGGTAGGCAACGGCCAAAGGGTAAAAAAATTTGTATTTTTAAATCGGGGTTTTTGAAGGTGAATGACGTTGGCTGTTTTATCAAAATGGTGTCTTGTTCAAAACTAAGTCGTGAAAAAATGTGAAGCCAAAAACAAAATGCCTAACTTCTAAGAAAGTGCTCATCTGGCCGAAAAGAGTTGAAATGAAAAAATTAGCAATTTATTAATAAAAAGTCGTAATTCTTCGCGCTAGAGGGCGGACAAACATTTTTGAAATGAAAATAGCCCTTAAATTAATAAAAAAATAGATATGGCCAGAAAACAGTGATATTAAATAATAAATTTAATAATTTAACTGAATGTCTTTGCCAATTAAGAGAAAAAATTTGAGGCGGTAGAAGAAAATTTTGTTACATTTTTACATTAGATCAATTGAATTATCCATTCATCATTTACCTTCCTTTGGGATGTAAGTAAAAATTTCATTATCCAATTTAATTAATCTAAAATAAGACGTAAATGACAGCTTTTTTAAAGGAATTTTTAATGATTGCTTTTGGAATAAGATTGCTTTGCAAGATTTGAATGAAGTAGAGTATTTCTTCTTAAAAGAGGGCTGCGTTATTACAGATTCTTTTAATTCTAAGAAGTTGTACATTAATTGTATTGATAATGACTTTTTTAGAAATGTTAGAAGACCAGTTAGTAAGTTTTAGTGTATGAGAATTGAAGTCTGCGTTTGTCAGATATTTTAACAAGATTGTAATTAAGAATTTGAAGATCTAGGTAAACAATATCATTTTGATTAGCATTAGTGGCATTAAGTTTGAGGCAGGTAGGGTAAATATTTGCATTTTCTAGTTTGTTAAAGTTGTTAAAGGCAATAACGTCATCAATATATCGAAAGATGTGTTTGTAATACTTTCGTTCATCAAGATTAAGTGAACGTACGAACTTAAATTCTTGCGAGAAAAGGAATAACCCACAGAATGCAGTTGAGCAGTTTCCGCCCATAGGTATTCCCTGTACTTGCTTAAATTTTCACTAATATGCTTGATTGATATAATTTGAAACCCATTTAATTTATAACATATATGACTGATAAATTATATAAGCATTGCAAGATTATTATATCTAATGAAAGATGTTCTAAACGTCACATATATCTCAGCTTTGTGCATAATGACTTAGTTCTTCCCTCCCCGCTCCCAGCCTATCAAATACTCTAAAATTCTTAAATTAGACGCCCTTAAAAGTTTTGGAAAAATTAGTCAATATGAGCAGTAAGAGACAATTATTTATTTAAACTTTATATTGCTTACAATTCACATACATAGCATCAAATAAATGGGCATGCTTTAATTCTAAATCGCACAAGAACGTATGGCGTAACTGCCAGCCTCGAAATGTGAAAAATCAGGAGGGTTCCCTCGCGAGAACCGGAGTTTCCGAGAAGATTTCCTCTGCTAGGCGGCTCCATTTCAAAAGAACTACTGTAAATTGACTTAAATTCACTTTGTAATGCATGAATGAGATAATTGAACTGTTTATAATTTGATTCTGAAGTAAAATACATTAATATTTAATGAGATATTCTTAGTTGTATGTTTTTTGGATGATTTCATTTTGTAAGTTTCTTACATATTTATACTGAGGGAATCCTGAAAGGGAGAAAAGCTTTTATTTATCAAAATACTTTTAAATACTATGAAGGTACAATTAATAATTAACACGCGTACTACTCTGGGGATAAATTTAGTGGTGCGATATTTATTGTTCGTAAGCAATATAACCTTACCAATATTAACTGATTAAGCATAGGTTGAATCTTCATAACAATTTCTACAAATGTTTACAGAAGATTAAAAACAATTCAGGTGAAATTAAATTTAACGGGAAAATTATATTGAAAATCACTAGAGTTTAGGGAAATGGAATTTGCACAAATTAGTTTTCATGAATTCAGTTGCAGGAGACATATTTCTTAGTAGTTTTTCGAGATTCGATGTTCTACCGAGAGATGTCATGGAAAACCTGGAGTATTGGCAGCTATATATAATATAGTATTTTGAAGTCCCGAGAAATAAATTCGAAATCCCACACAAGAAAATTCGGTAAATTTGAAGTTTCGGGAAATATTCCGTTGCGGCTAGCGAGAGTCAGGTGTGATAATTAACAGTGGATGACCGTGAAGAACATTAAAATTTTTCTTTGAAAATGATGCTAATTGCTACAAACGAAGAGTATCAGCCAGGCGCGCGCGCTTTCCTTTCTTTTTGGGGAGGAGGGGGGGTTCATGATTTTAAATTGAAGTCATAGTGCATAAATGGTGTTTAATACTATAATAAGAATTATTAGTAATGCATTTTCTGATGGTAAAAGTAGCTGATCTCTAAGCCTTTTCACTGGCGTATTTCGTTCATGTGTGTTGCCACTTCACATTTCTCAAACTTAGTTCTTCTTCAGATGGTGATGTTGCCACTCCCTTCAAAACTCTGACATCGATTAATGATGCATACATTTTTATTTTCAAACTTCTGTTGTTACAGAGGAATAAGAAAAACGGTTTCTTTGAATCATTCTCCATATGTGATTGGTGCTCGCTCCCTCAGTATCTGCTTCGTGTTTTCTTTCTTATTGTTATTCTTCCGAAGGCAAGAAATAAATAAAAATTGCAAATTTCCTTGAAAAAAAGGCGGAACAGAAATCATTATTCATTCAGGGCGTTAAAGAAATCGCTTTTTGATCATAGTTCTGCGATCGATTCATTTTAAACTGAAATTTTTACTCTTGCAGTGCCGTTTACTTCTTCCGTCTTCAAACTCATTTTCATTGGAGAAAGCGCATATTCCAGCTGCAAAGTTTTTGTTTCTTAAGAGCGAAAGCCTTTGGCAATGTATTTCTGGGAGCCTATTTTCAGAATGCACATTAATGCTTACTGTACTAAAACAAATTATATAAGTGCAGTGTGCTATTCAGTGCTTACCTCCTGAATTTAGTAATAGTTAGAATTCTATTTCTTCGCCTCGGGGGGAGGAAGTATCTATTTAAGGTCGTTCAAATTCAATAAAACCTTATTCACTATAAACACAGGGATAGCGCATGCACGTAGCAATCTTCCAGAAACTTAATTTCAAAAAATGCTTTTTGACAAAGCTAGATGCAAGCCAAAGCAATATCCCGGTTTCGTAGAAGCGTGGTTTACAGATCACAAAATCTCAATTAACGCCAACAAAATGCAAATCAAATGCGATTCTGTTTCACAAAAAGATGAATCATCCAACCTATCATTCACTCCCATGTTATTCAACGAAGAAATATACTTGAAACAACAAGTCGCCACCTAGACATCATACTTCATAATTTTGTCAAACTCAAACATAAATTTTACATTTCCAGAGCGAACTTACTTCTGAGAAAATATAACCGTTTACTGTACTGTAGTTTACAATAAAATATTTTATAAAACAGAAGCTTAGGAAAAGAACTGTTCTGCAACATGTGTCCCTTCGCAGAACAAGTTTCTACAAAATACATATTGGGTATTTCATTTGTAAAAGCGCCCACCGCATAAGCCTTTGGCGACATTTGAAATTTTCATATCAAAAGTGGAGCGTTTGTGTTTACCAGCTTCGGCATTTAAGCACGGTGACCACTTTAACAAGAAAATACTACAAATAATGCAAGTTGTTACTCTGGTAGTTCAATTCGGGTTTGTATCCCGGCGAAGAGGCTGGCTGCATGAAAATTTACGTGGTTTTTCCTTATGCGTAGCGTGAATTAAAGCCAGTTTTCTGTAGAAAGTCCTGCAGGAAGGCATCCCTTTCCCTAGGCAAAGAGTATTCGAGTGCTTTGAATAGTTTAAATAATCCAGTCCTTGGTTTATGTGTGCGAACTCATGTCGTAATAGCTCATGACATGTGCTTTTAAAAATTAGATAGTGTATTTTCTAAACTGCTTATTATTTGTATTGTAATATTAAACATCAAACAAAGAGGTATATTTTAAATTTAAAATCATAAACTACAGCCATAGGAGCTCGCATGCTCAGTATCGACAGTTCCTGCTAGACGAGACTTTTCTGAGAAACGAGATTCTGGTAGCACTGGTTTAAACGGGAAAATTCCTAGAAAAAAGAGCACCGCTGGAAGCAAAGTCCCGCATAGCTACGGAAACGAGTTGCGGCTATGCCGGATTTTTTCAAACCTCACCGAAAATGTCTCGGCTGGAGCTCTGTCCCGGGTAGAGTCAACCAATCAGACGAAAGTTCTGCTTCTGAAGGATCACGTGATCCCAATCTGAGCGATAATCGATTACTGTTTGGCGTTCAAGTTTTTGTAGTAAGTGAAAATTGTAACATAGCTACTTGGGCTTCCTGGAAATGCGCGGCTTCTGAGAATTGTCCCTTTCGACGTCCATTCCCGCCTAGCCGAAACATAATGTGATTGGGACCTAATAGAACAGACCGGCCTGCTTACCAGAACTTCAAAACGCCGTTGTGTTCTTATATTAATGAAAAAGGGGGGAATAAATTACATAGATTGCTATCGTATTTGGCGACAATTCGCTTGGGCAATAAAAAGTCAGATGGTGGCTCTGAAAGAAAAGTATAGATTTTTTATCAATCTCAAGTGTGTGTGTGTGTGTGTGTGTGTGGTTTTTTTTTTTTTTTTTTTCCCTAAAACGCCTTTCTTATCTCTCTCTTATTTTTTCCTTCAGAAATCTTCGAATCTGACAGCTGTACTCCCACCCATGTGACGAGCACTACAACGACGGCTACCCCTTCCGTGAAGTCAATCCCCCTGCCGGCTGGGAGGTCTCTCGGCCACCAACAAGACAACACCAGCATGGACCCCAGAGAATACAGATCCTCCTGTTTAGCGAGGACGCCGTCAGGATCTCTATTCATCCCTAGTGGTAAGTTTATCTAATGCCGGTATTTTTTTTAAAGACTGGAACATTTCTAAAGAATTTTCTAATTATGTTTTTATTTTTCCTCGTGTGTAGAAAACAATAAGTACTTAATAAAATTTAAATTTAACAAAAAAAATTACAAATGTTGATTTTAAATAGATACTATATTACTAAATGTAAATTTTAAATGAGAAGGATCATGTCGCATTTCATTTGTAAATTCTGGAATATGAATTCTAATTCTTGAACCTTGTCTCACTTTCTATTCTGTGTTTCCCAGAGAGTTTTTGCACATATTTTTATGGTGAAGTAAAGAAGAAAAGTGTCTTTTACACAAATTTAAATAAACCTAAATTCTGGAAGGGGTTATATTAATCTCAAAGCATGTGGAAACTCCTATCAGCTTTCTTTTTCTGTTGATGTGAGTGTTTCTTGATCACAGATACCAACTGGAAATAGATCAAACTCAATTATTGTTCGCATCAGAAAAAGGAAAATATTCGTGGAAACTTTGTTTCAAATTTTATGTTAAGTAGTAAGCATTGAGTAGTCCTTTTCAGATTATGTTCTTAATAAGAATCCAGTAATGTTTCTTAAGTTTTGGACCTTTAGTTCATCTTGCATACAGCGTTCTGTGTTTCCACTCCGCAAATCTTACGTCTAGCGTGGCCTTCAGAGATCTCTAACTTATCTTTCAGATTTAGTTGGTATCTTACAATTAAAATTAGAGCTCTAAAAACAATAAATGAACTTTTTAATAATTTGTATCGTTATATTACCTTTTTTAAAAAACATAATGTATCTGGTTTTTATAAATTAAATAAATTTAATTTCTAATACAAAGTATTTGCAAATAATCCATGCTTCACTAGACAAGTAAACTTTTATTTTAGATGAGAAAATGGGTAATATTTATATCATTTTTTGAATAAATATTACGAAATGTTTAAATTTTGTAAGTATTTAGATATTTAAATATCAAGAAGTGATACGTTTTAAATTTTGTTATAGATTCTGTAGCAGGAAATACGTTTTACCGCTGCGAATGAATTTTTATGCGCTTTTTTCGAATTAAGGAATTAAGGAAATATGAATTTAATGTTTGTGTATCTTTTAGTTTAAGGTATGTGCCTACATAGAGCATTTTTTTTAAATACATAAAATTTTAATTAAACACACATGTTTTTGAGTATGATGGGATATAAAACTATGAATTTAAATGGGATTTTATAGAACGTTTCATTATTTTTTTAAATATACGCATTATTTGGTAAGATTATAGTGAAAATTTTCATTTACGCCAGATCTCCTGTAACAGATTTTAATGAATATACTTCAATAATCTTTACACAGTATATAAATAACATACTTACCTGTGTTCTGTAGCAAAAGATTTGCTGTAATTATAAAATATTTTGAAATATTCAAAACTTGGTACAAAAACTCAAAATTAAAACCAAAAAAATTCCTCTTTTCTTCAAAATACTGTCAATAAAATCAATAAATAAATACAAAGAGGTCAGGTTTTGCTACAGAACACAGCTAAAGATTAACAAAACATTTTGGCAAAATTTCATTTCAATATTCTAAATACATTTTGAGAAATTAACGTAATCGCAATCAAAAGTAATGAAAAACACGATTTCTCAGAAAACGCATTTAAAGATTTTAATACAGCACAAAAAGTTTTGTAGCTACTTTAGACCTTTAAAACTCGCCGTATTTGTATATTAGGCCCTCTTTTACTTCATTATTAACTCATTTTGACTTTCTTTTAGCATTTTTCTTGATAACTTTGTTGCTTGTAGAGATTGGCATTTCGATTTCTGAATTCGCTGTTTTTCAATTCCCATGTAGCTTTCAAGAATAATGGGATTAATTTCTATTTCTATATACCTGAAAATAGGTAAAAGTCCTGAATATCTTGAATTAAATAATAATACAGCAATATGTGCCCCTAAAAGCAATGTCTTCAGTTGGATAAAAGTTTCTTTAGGTAAAATAGTCCTGAAAAGGTTATTACTACCTGAAAAGGTTATTACTAGGTTATTACTAAAGGTTATTAAAACTCTCATTATTGTTTTGAGTCTTCCCATGTAGGTATTTTATCAGAAACGTATCACACAGTAAAAGATGTGTTACTTTTACAGCTTTTATGTTGTTTAATAATTAGAAAATAGTTGTTTAAACTGAATGTTTACATTTTTACGACCATTTAAATGCCAACTTCCGGCATCCAAAAATTCACTTCCGGTTTATTTTTTATACTATGACTTTGCTTCTAGTTATCGTAAGAACAAAAATAAAGCATTTTTGGAAACCTAAATGTATGGCCTATAAAATGAATAAATAAAACAAATTTCGAAAATTTTCACCAAAACGACGAATTAAGAGTAGGCACATTCCTTAACATTTGCAGCTATTTTTATTAGTATAAACTTTTCTCAGTTCGCAGAAATGCCATGTGTGAAAAATTGTATCTTTCAAATATTTACCAACGTAAGTTATTATTTTGTTTGTATTTTATTTTTATCTTTGAATAATGCGTGCTAAATTTAATTTTTTGGCGCGCGATTTTTTAATAGTTAGGTTCTGGCAACAGTAAAATATTGCTAAGTCTGTTCTATTCTTTTTAATTTTAAGAGTAGTATTTATGCTGTGTTTTTGAGTTATAAGAAGGGAAGGCATCTTTTTGTGATATTTAAAGATGCGCATATTGAGTTTCGATGTGCTTACGTCTAATAAATGTGTTTTTTTAAACAACTTGGAGTTTTAATGAATCCTTATTGACTTTGGAGTATTTTTGAGAGGCAATTATTTGTCACCGTGTACTATTAATTATCACCGGGACTTATTAGATAATTAATAAATAAATAATTAAGATAAAGATAAATAATTTTAATTAATAAATATTAAAATATTTAATTAAGATAATTATTAATTAATAAATATTAAATAATAAAATATAAATATTTTTGTCACCGTGTACTATTAATAATCATTAAAGAATAAATAAATATTCATTACTCTGTTGGCAACATTATTATCCTGTTTCAGAGGCTTCAAAATAAATGCCCAGAAACTAAAACCCTTATCACATACGATATTTGTTGCTGGAACAAAACGTTTGCAGCAACAGTTCTGATAAATGCCCTTTGGCGAAATAGGGTTACCATCTTCATTTGGAAAACAGGCTGAAAGCCAAACAAGAATCAGTTATCGCTCAGATTGGCGAAAGTGACGTTTCTTTTCAAGTGACATTCGCTTCTTCGTGTTGTTTTGTATCGCTCACACTCTTTTCGTTTTAAACTTTATTGTTAGTAATGGAAGATAATAGAAAGGTGATTGCTATCAAGTTAATCACTTTGATCTCCACTCTAGCACTTAAAGTAACAGATAAACACACTTCTGGTTATAGTAATCAATTACATCAGTAATAGCCAAATTCTGTATACACTAAAAATAGTTGAAAATGTGTGCTGGATAAGTCTATTTATCAGACATTATTTATGTGTATTTTCTGTTGTCTGCATTGCCACGAAAATTTGATTGTTCACGAGAAAATTTGTGACCTGGTTCACGGGAAATTTGTGACCTTCTGACCTTGACTAACTATTAATGGCTCATAATTACTGTTCTGTCCATTCAAACAAACAAACAGACAAAAAAAAAAAAAAAAAAGACGGCCTTTTATGACAAAAGTCTATATGGCTGATATTTACATCCTCACAGCCAGCAGATACTATTTAGCAAAATGAAGATCAACTAAAGCATATGAATACATGAGCAATCAAACATGTGCGAGTTGTTTACTGTCCCATAGAACACTCGGTAATACACCTAAAACACATTAATTATACCAATTCTAGAAATTAGGTGGTGCACATCATGAGTTTGTTTTATGTGATTACGGCAAAGCCTCGAGGGATATCTGCCTAAAAGGAGGGATCCCTTTGTAGAAGATTTTTTAAAACTGGCTCGTATACGAGTTACAAATGGAGCAAACAAAGGAAACGTCATGTAGCCAGCCCGTTCGCGGCATTCTAACCTGAGACAGAACTACCAGTGTTCAACGACGCTTCGGCCACTAGTAGGCCCGTGCACTTAATTGGAAAGTGCAATTCATTATGTAAACAAACATGAAGGTGATAATCAGTTGTGCACTGTTTTAAGTAATCAAATGTTATAAATGCACAGCTGTTACATTTCTTATTATTTCTTAGTCATGTTTTATTACGTAGATCATACATATGATATAATTATGAATTAACCCAATAACAAAATGTGTACACTCTGTAGTACTCATCAATTATTTTTCAACTGATTATTACACACTCATAATAATTTGCAAAGAACTGATAACTATAATTGCTGCCAATTACATAATCGTTATCTGAATTAAAAGTAACTTCAAATAAACTTCTTGGCAATGTTCATTTTTGTATTCATACATTCATATTGTTGCGTGCGTACGGGTTCGTTATGAAATGAATGCACAAGTCCGATGAAAAATGAACAAAAATTTATTATTATCACAACAAAAATGCTTAAATTTTCTCAAATTATCATGCAGTATTACAATATCTCACAGTAGTTATCTTTTAACTACTCAAATATCCAATAGAACGTAATTCAAAACAGCTACAGAACGCTAATCCGAGAATTCGCTACAATCAACAAGAGCAGTTTTCTAAACAACAACAAACTAAGCAACTACTACAAACTGAGATGTTTTTCCTCCTTTTATAAGATTTTAAAATCACGCGCTAGAATTTTCCAGTAGTACTTTCTCGAAATCAAAAAGAGATATTTATTTATTTAATGCACGCGCTCTTGTATTTTCAATTTTCCGACTTAGCTTTCTTTTAATATTCGTCACGCGCTGCACTACGCGAGAAAATTAAAACCATTTAATTTATAATTGAACTAACATTAGCTTTTTAAATACCAAATTCGTAAACACCGCCCCCTTCCCAAGGACTGCACGTCCCGGGCAGTACAAT